TACTCAGGGATTATTTAGTGAGTTTAATGTCGATCAAATCTGCTCCCTGTACGCTAGGCACAAAACACCAGATTTAATCCTAACTGGCTCTGGCGAASTTGGTTCAGCTGGTGGCCCTTTAAATCTCTTTCTAGACATTTCTCTCTGCTGTAGTTGGTAAAACAGGAATAAACGTGCTGTCAGGAGCACGGGGCAGCCATAGAAGCACTCCCGTTCCCGGGGCTGCGGCGCGGGGGTGCGGGCAGGGGCTCCCGGCCAAAGCGCCCCCGGCATTCCCCAGCGAGGGAGGGTCAATAAAGAGCTGCGGGATCAATCGGTGGCTTCGGTGTTTCCTYTCCCCGCTGTGCCCGCGCCGAGCCGAGCCGGGGGGGCCGAGCAGGGCTCCCAGCCCGGAGCCCCGGGAGCTGCTGGGTGTGGAGCTGTTGTCCCTCTCCGGCTCCTTCCCAGCCCCAAACCCCTGCTCTTGCCGCTCCCACCGTGTCTGTGTGTCAAGGGCCGCTTCCTTGGCCGCCCTCCTCTCACAGCGATAATTAAACGACTTTTCCGTCGTAAACCAGAAAGGGGGCGAGTGCCAGGAAGGCGTAAAACTTTTCCGCCGTGACTTTGGCCGTCACCGCCCCCCAGCCCGGTCACTCCCCGTCCCCTCCCTCCCACCCGCTCTCTCCAATGCCCCCGAAGGCGACTCTGCTGTCCCTGCGGTCCCCCTCCTCCCCCACCCCCTCAAAAAAACACCCCAAAACCCAAAAGCGCGGTCCGCCCCGATATCGCCTTCTGAAAAGTTCACTTTATTTACAAGGGGGCGCCGGGGTTTCCCCCCCTGTTTACACACACACACATTTGTAAAATTAGCCAACCCCCCTGTCAAAAACGCAAAGGAATGGCTGAGAAATAAATAAACCTCTCCCACCCCCCTAGGCGGAAAGTCTCCAAGCCAGCGGGGTTGTGCTCCCCACGGCCCGGGGCTCAGRCAATCCTGCTGCAGAACTCGTCGAAGTCCCTCTCCATGAAGAGCTCGCTCTCGATCACATCGTCCTCCGAGGGGAAGTACTGCTGGCTCTCCTCCTGCGGGGAACCCGCGGCCGCCCCGGTCCCGACCCCGACCCCGGCCCCGGCTCGGGCGGGCGGGGAGCGGGCGGCGGGTCCGGGCTCCCCCGCGCACTCCATCAGCGCCCCGCGGGCGTTCTCCAGCACCCCCAGGTACGAGTCCATGTCCAGCGGGTCCATCTCGCAGTCCGACCCGCCGCTCTCTGTGCCCACCGAGTCCGAGCGCAGGTGCATGAGCTGGTACTTCTCCCGCATCAGGAACTGGTTGGTGTTGCGGGGCGCCCGCATGCCCGGCGCCCGCCGGCCCCACACGTTGACGGGTCTCAGAGAAAGCAGCACCCGCGGCCGCGCCGGGCGGTGGCACCGACGGAAGGCGCGGCAGTGCTGCTGCTGCAGCTGCTGGTGCTGGTAGTGCTGGAAGTGGCTGTGCGTGCGGCTGCCCAGCAGCTTCCGYGCCCCGCCGGGGACCCTCCCGCGCCGCCCGGGCGGCCAACGGGACCGGCTGCCGCCCCGCCGGGGCTCGCCGCCCTTCAGCGGCGTCGGGGAGATGCTCCCCGGCAACCCCTCGCCGCGGGCGGGCTCCCAGGGCGGGCACACGATGAGCTCCGCGCGTCGCAGCATCGCGGCCCCCCGGCCTCTCACATGCTCCGAACCGCCGCGACGCCCCCGCCGCGCTGCTCCTGCGCCGTCGCCTMTCCGGCGCGTCCTCCGCTTCTCTCCGGGCTGAGCGGCCGCTTCCCAAGAGCCCTGCGGGGGCCTCTGCGGGCGCCTCTACCTTTTCACGATCCGCTCTGTTTTTTTCTTGAGCGGAGCCCGTTGGCAGCGCATAGCCTGGCTGAACGGCTGCGGGCTGCGGGGCAGCTTGACGGGTTCCAAGCCGCCGCCTCGGAGATGGTCTCGCTTACTCCCCGGCCGGGCGCTGCCGGGCTGTCAGCGCTGCGCCGCGCACGGCGGGCCGGGGCAGGGCCCGGAGCAGAATGAGCGAGGGGAGGGGAAGGCGCCGAGGCTCAGGGACAGCACACGGAGCGCGCTCACCRCCCGCCGCCCCGCGCCCACTGCCGGCGCGCTCCCGCGCAGCCCTTACTTATTACCTCCGGCGCAGTCCAACTGCCGCCGCGCCGCGGGGGCGTGTTGGGGGAGCACAGCCGCTTCTCAGCCCTCCTGTCCCCGCCAAACTTCGCCCTCCGCGCCCKGGGAGCGTGGGCCCTCCTCGCCACCGCGGCTAGCGCACTCGCATCTCCCGTGTTCTCCCATGTTATCCTGAGTTATCCCGGGATCTTCCCCCCTTGGGCGCGCTTTGGCTTGGCTCAGAGCAGCGGGAGCATTTTGTTCATCCCCTATTCACGAAGACCATTTACGCTCAGCTCTGCGCGCAAGCACCTCGTAGGGGCGCTACGCAAACCGCGTACGGCGCTCATCTCTTMCAGCGGCGCTACGCAAACCGCTACTCAAACAGCGTACGACGCCCGTGAGGGGCGCTGGGGGTGGGTGGCGAAATGGCCGCGGGGGCAGCGAGGAGGGAGAATGGGCGGCCCGGGGCCGGCACCGGGCGCTGGAGAAGCCGTGGCTCTCAGTGCCAGCTCCCGCGGCGCCCTTCCCCCGGAGTTCCAGGCTGCGGCCGGCGCCACCGCCGGGGAGCGGTGACCTTCCCGCGGGTCCCACAAAATGGTGCCCGCGCCTCCCCCCTCGGCCGCCTCACTCCAGGGGAGTCCCGTCCCTAGGCTTCTCGGTGGTTTTTTTCGCTTCCCTTTAACCTCTCCAGCTGAATCGGTGCCTTTTTCATGACTATAGAATGAAAAATTCGAGTGGAGATATTCATTCGTGTAGTTTGGGGAATGCCTCAGTGACTCGTGCTGGGCCTTGGTTCCTCTGCTACAAATTTCCCCTGAGTCTCCAATTTGTTTCGGGTTTTTTTTTTTTTTTTCCTAGTATGTAACTAATCTGACACCGGCTTCCCTTTTCACCCCTCCTCCATAGACAATTTGGTAATGAAAAGCAAGCTTGTCAATGTTGCCCAAATGCTCCCGAGTGAAGGCTGTGCATGAACAGGGRCTGCTCCTCCCAGGCAGGTAACATTTTATTACAATTTAACAGTGAAGAGTAAAGAAGTACAAAGTATACAGGGGAGACAAAGTGAAAATCTGGATTTGGGGTAACTACAGAGTCAACGTTGCCAACATTGAAATGCCACTATTTGTTTATTTCACTGCTTTAGAATGTGTATTTCTAAGCAGTGTTTGTTTCAAATTCCATTCAGCAATTATATGGCATTCCATTTAAAATCAACTGGCCTTATCACCTGTGTTTTACAAACTAAAGGCCAAAATGGAAAGAGTTGGCACTGGAGCAAGCAGCAGCTGTCTGAAGTTGTCTAAAATCTGCAGCCTCTGAGATCTGAGGGAATGTGAGAGCAGGGGGAGGTTGAAGTGCTTTCAGAGTTCATGGGGATGTTTATAAAGAAATGCCACATCATGTGGCAGAATCCACGTCCTGAGTTGTCACAGGCTTTTTCATAGATGTATTAGGCAGCAGTATGGCTTGAATAAACTTCTGCCACTCCAAACCTCCCTCCTGGATACAGAACATCCCAGAACTCTGTGTTTGTGTGGGAGACTCTGCCCAGCAACCACATGCACCCAGTCTGCCCTGTCCTGCTGGTCAGCCCTGCTGAGTCTGGCCTCAGTTCCCATTTTCTGTGCTGTTTCTCTGAGTTTGCCGCAGATTTAATACAC